TTCTTATTGTCCGATGATTTATAATACCAATTATTCTGAATACGTTAGAAATTATTTGTTTTTCTTTTTAGATCTGTTTTACTTTGATAAATTGGCTTTAATTTTAGCGGAAATAAATATTAATACTACAATATGGACTTTAAAGCTGGACACTGAAGCAATAAATCATAAATTAGCTACAGACATTTGAAATGTTTTGTTACAGAGAGATATTTAGAATAAAATGGACACAGAAGAAAACGAACACGGAAATATTGCAAGAAATTGGCCAAATATAAAAATAAGAAATTTACAACATCTGGGACACGTCATGAGGGGACAGCCGTATGAAATGCTAAGATTGATAATACAGGGAGATAAGAGGAGGAAGGAGTATAGGAAGAAGGAGAGTCTCATGTTAAAAAATCTAGAGCTAATGTTTCAAAAAAAAACCTATAGTTGCCTATTTTGAGAATCAATATCATCATTCTAGATTTATAACCCTGCTTGGGTCGTAGCCCCTTAAGAATTTCTGCCCAGTCGTCTCTATCTATCGCCTTTCTCCGCCAAGCACGTATTCCCATATTTCTCATGTCTTCATCGATGTTATCAAGGAACCTTGTTCTGGGTTCTACTTCCAGAATCTGCGTAGAAAATTAGAAAATATTCCATCTAAAAACATATTTAATTATGACGAGACCAATGTGTAAGATAACCCCTGAAATAAGAAAGTGATATTTCAAGACGGCACCAAATATCCCCAACATGTTTTTAATTTTACCAAAGCAGCAACGACTGTTACGATGTGTGCTTCTGGTTCAGGATTTCTGTTACACCATATATAATGTATAAAGCAGAAAAAATGTGGTTACAATGGAATGAAAATGGTCCAAAGGGATCACCTTGCTGTACTGGAAGAGGCTGCTCTGTAGGTTCTCGATATAGTCTCACCCATCATGGATGGATAGATTGCAAAACATCTTGAAGGGCGACAAATCATCATAGGAAATAACCTTTCCTCACATTTTACCGACGAGGTGATACCATTATGCAAACAAAACACTGTGGGCTTTATATGTTTGGTCAAAAACTCAACACATTTGACCCAACCACTTAATGTCGGTTTTTTCCGTCTCTTTCGGATGGCTTGGAGGAAAACTCTTAGTGATTGAAAAAACTCTCACCCCACATTAACCACAATAGATAAGATTTTCCAAACTTTTTAAACACTACCCTTCAGCGCGTGGACAAAAAAATAAAATCATCGCTATAAACGAATTATTGTTTCCTCCTTTGCAGCCACGGGAATTTACCTTTTCTCAAATCGACAACCTTCAAAGCGAACCTAACTAAATTTCGAGCCAGGAAAAAGTGTGGAAGCTCAGCAACCTGATGAAACTGAAAGCGAAAGTGAAGGAGAGCCACCAAGTGATAACAAAACAAAAAGTGTTGGATTGGATTTGGATAAGTCTGATAATAATGATAGGGTAGAATATGTTGCCTATATCAAAGATTACATCAAAGGAGTTTTTTTGTCAGTAACGGTGTTGGGAGGAAGAAGCAATACTATCGCTATGTTGCCAAAATTCAAAAAGCCAATAAAAAGGACCTAGACGTAAGATATAAATCTACGGATGAAATAATAAAGGCCTTCAAACCGATCGAACAGGATACAATTTTTGGTTGCCATTTTTCCCTATCCTGAATTCCTTAATTCAACAGAAACAGCTTTTAAAATACAGGTTGATGTAATGGAGTTGTAGAATATCACGTTAAACTTAATATGCATATAATATGTTCAAAGATATTTAAAATAATGTTTTTTGATGTTTTTATTCAATTCTTGTTAATCAAATGCTATCGGCCAAAAAAACTTTATTCGAGAGAATACTCCTTTACGTAAAAATTTCATTTAATTCTAGTCATTACAGCATTAAATATTGTAACTTCAAGTTTTTCATAATTGCACTTAGAAACTCATATAAGCTCACTTTGCTTAAGCTATTTAAAAATCGACATTTTTCTGATTTATTTTAAGTAAGTAAATGTCACTGCCACATAAAATTCCTAATTTTGCTCAACATCACAAATCGAAAGCTATATTTTGGTGATATTATGAATGATTTTCATATCAAATTAAATGCTTATAATTATGGATTTGAATGTTCATGTGTTAAAACTTTAGGTAAGTACCTAATAGAGTTTTTTTAGTAACACTAAAGCTACGGTTTGTTAGAACCGCACAGCAGAATCTGTTGTACTCGACCCACTGCAGTTTTGGGTGGTAGATTAATTCGCATAAATATTCTGTCGCTCTGAAAACAAGTTTAGAAATTGGTTTCACGTTTATTCTCTCAAATATTGTACATTCAAAAAAAAAATGAATTTTCGCAAACTTAATGCAATAATTTTATTGTCCAAGAAGAGGAGGAGAGTTGATAACGTTAAATTTAAATAAAAGAAATAAAAATGTAAACGTAATTTTTTCATGTCTTAATACAGAAGGTGTTTCTATATTAACAGTCGAAAAAAGATTGTTTCAAAACGAGGAAAAGTTTTGAGAATATTTTAGACTTTCCAGGGATTTATTTGGAACTGCCTTACAATTTGTACTAGATCCACTATTCTTTCATCTTCATCGGGAGAAAATTTAGTAGACAATTATTAAAATATTAATAACTATATAAAAATACAATTATAATTTCGGTATAGATGTGTACGCTGTCAGCTGAGCTAAACGTTTTCGTCCAAATCAAATCGCAGTTGATTCCAGCGCACACCTTCGCCGTACACGGCTATCGGTCTGCAGTGCGCGTAGCTGAGCAGAACCTAACAAATCGTTATCACAGAGAACCATTTCTTTGATTTTGACGAACGTGCGCGGCGTTCGACTGACTGGGTTATGCGGCGTTCGACTGACTGTGAGTTATGCGTCGCTCACTTTTCTAACAAACCATAGCTTAATATGTGGCCGATAGTTAGACAATTTAATAACTATATCGTCCATATCTGAATATTGGTGATCATTTATATCAGTATTTTTAAAGCTAACATTTGTAATGTAATGTAATTTGTAATTGAATCGGTGAGTTGAAAAAGGTGCACATTCCAAAATGGCTATTGTTCTGCAACCTAAACAAAAACTGTTTATGTACAAAACTTAATATGTTACAGAAATTGTTTCAATTATGAACTTTCACAAATTCATAATCTCTGTGTTCATAATTTCATAAATTCATAATGTCTTTGTGACCAATGCGAATCTTTTAAAAATGCAGAAGCAAAAGAAAAAGAAAATATGCAAACAACCATTGAAAGTCACTTAGAGGAGAAAAGGATCTAAGTCGTAAAGAAAAAATCTAACGATAAACTGAAAACAAAAAATTCTGATAACGATATACATCTAGCTACTTGTGATTTACAAGCAGTGTTACCTGTACCAATAGTACAAAGATCAGCATTTTTTACAAATCTCGCTTAAACTGTTATAACTTTACAGTAGTAGAAGTACAGGCGAAAAAAGATCAAGTCTCCGAAACAGATAGCACTTATGAAATTGATAAACCTAGCTGTTACTTTTGGAATGAAGTGATGGGGAATAGAGGGGCAATAGAAATCGGGTCTTGCGTTTATTCCGATCTAAAAGAATTCTCAATAACCAGCCCAGGAGTTGATGTGATTTTTATTCCGATAACTGTGGACGCCAACAAAAAAATAAATTTCTAGTAGCCATCTACCTGTTTGCTGTCAATACTTTGGACATCAATTATATTATTCACAAGTACCTTGTTCGCGGTCACACTCAAATTGAAGGTGATTCAGTCCCCAGCATAATAGAAAAAGCAGTGAAGAGGGCAACCGAATCAGGCTGATATACATTCCCGAGCAATACGTTGAATTAATTAGGAATGCTTAAAAAACAGGAGCTCCTTTAACCGTTAAAGAAATGGATTTCACTGAGTTTTACGATGTAAAAGCACTGTATAATGAACTAGATTTCACCAAAGACGAGGAAGGCCGTGACTTCATAATAACTAAGTAATGCTACTTCAAAGCTTAAAGGGAAAGATTACTTCCTGTATAAAAAAAGTTATAAACAATCAACGTGGACGAAAGTTGATGTTTGCCAAAAAGAAGGGGTCGGAGTTCGTCGGAATTGTTTTCACATAAATGCCAGCTGCGTAGGGCTTACTTTTCAAAATTCCTTTAGGTGATAAACTGAAAGATTTGAAATAGTTACTTTCAAAACATATAATTCCTGGATTTTGTAGTCTTTTACGATTAAATTTTTCGTTGATACTTTTTTTTGCAATTTCAATTTTATTTTTAAGTTCTTTTTTATTAAAATTGTTTGCTTTTACTACAATTTTCGATTTGTTTAATAGACTTTTTCAATGACTTTTTGTGCTTATTTCGATGCCACCTTTCAAAACTAGCTAGGTAACCAAATATTTTACAAAATGAGTATGTCTGTGTAAATTTTATCTTTAAAACTAAATTCTTAATTTTTCAACACTAAATTTGATCTACAATTGCTATTACGTTATTGTTGCCTCAGTTATTTTTATTTTTTCATTTATTATTCTGAAAAGTTACACTTTTGTAGTTGCGTCATTATTCCACCTAGACAGCGATATTTATCAAAATCTTCACCACAATTGATTAAATCTTGTGGCCAAATTGTGTTGTGACTTGATTTTATTGTGACAACGCGACAATTAAGAACTACATGCAACCTGTCGTAGGTTTAAACTTCCTGAATTCCTAACGTAAACCGCCGCAACTGATGCAATGATGCAACAAACAGATTGATATAAAAATGCTATAGCTCATAAAAATACCATGAATTCTCATAGTTTCAAGAATTATTAATGATAAAATGAAAACCTTCCTGTGTTCGATAATAATTTGTAAAGTGTACATAGTTTACAAAGTTACGGAAATAATAATAGAATAATATTTTTTTGCTTTCAAAGTATTCAACTATTCTAGATATATTAATAGATATAAATTTTTCGTAGGTTCCCAAAAGTCACCAAGATCTAGAAGACAAAGAACAACGTCTTTAAATCAGTCGAAGAAACCGACAGAATCTATTATAAGAACCCAACATCGCACAATATATACAGCTGGCAGACCACCTTGGTACAACAGCGTTGGACAAAAAGTTGAACCGTTCGTTATTGGTAAGTAGCAAGAAATACAATCATATAATGAATAGTTTCCTCTAATCTTATTCGTGGGGGTTTAAAATATTTTAGGAATATGTGGAGGGAGCGCCTCAGGAAAGACAACAGTCGCAGAAAAAATAATCGAATCTCTTGGAGTACCCTGGGTCACCTTACTTAGTATGGATTCGTTCTACAAAGTATTAAATGAAAAACAACACGATATTGCAGACAGAAATGAATACAATTTCGATCATCCAGACGCTTTCGATTTCGAGTTGTTGTTAAGCACAATTCAGAGGCTCAAAGAAGGAAGAAAAGTGGAAGTTCCGATCTATAATTTCGTCACGCATTCCCGAGAAGCTAAAACAGTGAGTATAACCAGAGTGACTATTTTTATTTTCTTATTCTTGTACTTTGTCTAAGTATATGTTAATATATTGATACACCAATGCAAAATAAATATAAAATAAAAATTAACATTACTAATGGAAAATTCCAGTGGTTGGCTGTTATAGCATAATATTAAATAAAAAAAAGTACAGTGGACAGATTCGAATGTAGTTATAAGGATCGAAATGTTTTTTAATGCCCCTTTGTCCGATTATTCTCGATCGACGATGGTAATACAATAAAATGTTGAAATCGTGGAGTAAAATTATAGTTTTATTGACCGCTACTAATAATTACACTCTAGTTGTTGGTTAGGTAACTTTCTATAATAGACTGCGCTCAAATGAGCTCAAATCCCCAATTTATAATTTCACAAATAATGTATACCTCAGCACAGAGGTTAATGCTTCTATATTACTAACAAACTTTGAACAATGAGCTTACAAAAAAAATTAATTTAGGCCATTATTGCAACACTTAGGAAGTTCAATTTGAAAATATATTATTCGGCAATTTATTAAGTTGCAGGTTAATGGACTCTAATTATTAAAATATTACACGATATGTTTTCACAATGTTTCAATTATACACGGTGAAACTGTAAGGTTAAGAAGTTAAGAATAATGTGAGATTACAAATTAAGTGATTAATGTGGACACTATATAAAAAAAAACAGGGTTTCTGACCATTAATCTTGGATATGTAGTCGGGGAAACATTAATTTTCCTCTTAGCAGGTTTCCTCTCAATATAATTTTTGTTTATCAATATACGAACTTAATGTTAATGGCGTTATTTAACTTAGTAGTTTCAATTAACCAATCTAGATTTATCTGGTGGGTTATTTTTTACAATACTTTTGTTTCCACTTTATCGGTTACTTTTTCTTGTAGCTCTTGAAAAAGAATGTAAACATATTCGAAAGCTCGACTAATATCTAGTTATGACTAGAGCTTTGATTTCAAGCCAGGATTTTCCCATCTCTTTCCCTTTGTCCAGTACTGTCTTTTTTAGGTCTGCCTACTTTCCGTCGGAGGTATTTTTAAGGATTCCAATCCAGCGCTGTTCTGGCAATGTCATGTGGAGGTCTTCAAAATGTGTGACCCAGCCATCTACATTTTCTTCGCCTTATTTGATGTATGTCATTTTCTGGTTGATTGGTTCTAAATTTATCGAGATTCGATTAGGCCAAATATACGAAGGATTTTGTACCACCGTTACAGTTAATTATGCTGCCCATAATTACAAATTATACACTCTCACATTTTTTATACCTCATTTCCTGGTTGTTGACCACAATATGCTAATTGTTTTTGTTGTCCAATAGCATTTCTTTGGTTTTGTAGATCTTTATTTCTAGACCAACCTTCTTTGATTCTTCTTGTAATCTTTTTACTTAGTACTTAGAGTTACATATCCTGTTTTGCATATGCTAAGGGCCTAATATCATCAGTTTAATTTAGATCTTCCAGTCTGTTTGTTAATCACCAGTAAATTCCTCTATTAAAGTTTACCTTCGTCCAATACAATTTTAAATAGTAAGGGGGATAGAACATAGCCCTGTTTTATTCCGTTTAGCGCAGATATGGGGTTGGGCTGGATGTTATGCCGTTGTGTAGGACTGTGCTTTCTGTATCACTGTAGAGATCTTTATTGTCTAAATTTATAAATTTTAATTAGATTTTTGGATTACTTGTTTTGACATGAAAATCCAACTGTCCTTCATCAGGCCTAGCATTTCCCAGTTGATGAGGAATAAAAAACAACTTAGTTATATCATTTGCTCACTAATTTACTACTTAGATAATCTTACCGTATTTATTTTTTGTATGCTTATTAATAAATAATACACATGTAACTGGTTTTGATTTTAGTTTAGGGCTTTAGACTTTAGGGTTCCGACAAAAATTAAGTTTTTTAAAAAGGTCCCGCCACCAAAAACGTTTGAGAACCGCTGCTCTAGAAAAATCTGCTCAAAAACTGCTCCAAATAGTGAGAGGTAGAAATATGGCATATTTTAGGCGTATGGTAGAAATAATCAGTAACACGTTCTTTATTTCGTGGCTATAAGACAATTGATTAGCAATTTATTATTAGAACTATTTGGAGTCCCTATAACATATTTATGTGATATGAATTACAGTAATCACTAACGTTCAGTGATAATATTTTACAAGAAGATATACAACTTCATAAAAATATTTTACATCAAATATAGCATTTTCTGCTACTAATTCCACTTCCTATTTTGTTATTATTATAAGTACTTTTTTTATAAACATAAATTTAATCTTTCTACTCAATCGATCAATAACTGATGTCTAATAATATTTGTTCATATAGATAAAATGCATTTTCATTCAGAAATATTCTAAGAAAAGTATTAAAATTTTGTCGTCATATCAGTTTCTAAAGAATTTGTAATATTCTACTAATACAGCAGGTTGTAGTAAGCGATAATCTATTTTTAGACAAAAAGTTTATTCACAATTTCCTACTATTGTTGCCAACGAGTTCAATCGTCCAGTAAAATTTTCCGTGAACATCTGCCAAGCTTTTTAACTCGTAAATTTTTGTATCGTTCATTCTTAATAGTGTTTTAATTGAACTTTTATAATGTTAGGTATGTCTATTAAAATCTAATTGATTGCGATTTGCAATTGGCGGCTGATTACAAATGCAAATCTTCAAACAGTCGCTAAGGGTGTTAGTCAAAGCCAAAAATTTTCTCGCAAAGATAAAGTTAAAACCAATAAGATTTTTTTGAAAAATTCCGAGTTATGTATTAGAAGAAGTAATACATAAATAATTATTTATTTTATATAATAAGGTAAACAATATATTGTAGTTTTTCAATTAAGTTTAATTGAAATGATTGACTAAAATTTGTATACAGGATGAACTACAGAACGAAATTACGATTTTCTCAGAAAATAAGTCCAAAGTAAATGTTCAAAATATCTACCTTCAACGTCTATACAAGTTTGTAACCTATATTCAAATGACCTAGTCACATTTCTTAACATTTGAAGTCAATTTTATTAAAAGCTTCTCTTATTCTATTTTTCATATCATATGGCGTTGTTGGAGGCTTCTGGTATACAAAGGTCTTTTATATAGCCCCACATGAAAAAATAAATTTTGAAGAATTGCGATGATCGCGGTGGCCAAACAGTTGGTTCTCCTCTGCCTATCCACCTCTCAGGAAGGTTACCATAATGTACACGGCCGTCAAAAAAATGTGGGCCGATCACATAATCGCCAGCAATACCACCCCAAACATTTACAGACCACCCAGTTTGACTATAAGTATTAACAAAATAGGGATTGCTTGATGCATAGTAATGAAAATTATGCCGATTCATAACCCCCTCTGTGGCTCAGTGGTAAGAGCGCCTGCCTTTAAACCTAAAGGTCGTGAGTATCTCACCTGGGTGGAAATTTTCGTTTATTAAAAAAACTAATAAATGAAAATAATTTCTATCCTTGTGTGATCGGTACTCACCGGAGGGACCGCAGACGTTCGGATACAATTAGCGTCTCTTAGCAAAGACAATGACGTCGACTTTGCTAAGTATCAAGAAAATTATCTACACACACAACACACACACACGCACACACTACATTAATAAACTTATCTTGATTGAGACTGGCTGAATGACAATTGTCCAAGCCAAAACACACAAAAAACAAAAAAAAATGCCGATTCACCGTTCCATTTTAGTGAAGTGTAGCCTCATCTCCAAAAAGCACATTATCGAAAAAAAATCGGTCTCTTTGCACTTGCTTCTGAGACCATTAACAAAAAGCAAATCTACGTTGATAATCACCGACTGTCAATACTTGATGTAACTGTATGCGGTAAGGATGCAGTTTATGTTTACGAAGGATTTTTACCGCCAAAGATTTACTAATGTCATCTTGACGTGACATTTCGTAGCAGTTAGCAATGTTTTATTAAAAATTCCTGGCTTAGAATACTGTTTGAATATACTGGCTTTGAATACTGGCTTAGAATGGAGTTGACCATTCTCTCTCCTGTTGCTGACAAAGAATGTAGAGCTTAGCACCATTTTAATTAATTTTAAACTGTTTGTCCTTGTTTTAGTGGTGTTGTGTACAATTTTATGTTAAAATTAATGTTTATCACATTCTACGCTTGCTGGCGTGGCTTTTTGAAGACTGGGCATCGGACAGGGAAGTAAAATGTCGCATTGAGCAAGCTCGACAAGCTTTTCGTAAAATTCAAGAAGGTACTGACTTGTTCTGAGTTCGATCTTCAACTGAGACTAAGGTTTACTAAGGGCTACGTATGGTCAGTGCTGCTATATGGCGTAGAGGGCTGGACACTCAAAAACGAGGGATATAAACAGATTGGAAGCTTTCGAAATGTGGCTTTATCGCCGTATCCTAAAAATACCATGGACAGCGAAAATCACAAATATAGATGTCCTTAAAAGAATAAACCAAGAACGCCAACTTTTCGAAACCATCAAGAAAAGGAAAACAGCGTATCTAGGTCACATCATGCGAAATGAAAAATATCAGTTCCTCCAACTTATAATCGAGGGTAAAATTGAAGGCAAAAGAGAATGGGACGCAAGAAAATGTCCTGGCTCCGAAACATAAGGCAATGGACAGGATTAACGACATACAATCTCTGATACATATGGCTAGAAATAGAGAGTTAATGGAAAATGTGATCGCTAACATCCATTAGTGGATTTGCATCTGAAGAAGAAGAAGACGCTTGCTGGATAGCCCAAATTTGCCTTTCATTTTTCAAAGTTCATTTATTCGAGCATTCAACCTTATATCAATAAAAAATTTTTGGCTATACCCCAAACTAACTCAATTGCATTATACTGTCAATGGTAGGGCGGAAGTCGAAGAACTTCATGGCCATATTTAAGAGCCATTTGGTCAGTAACAAATTTCTTTTGAATTTTGTGGTCTCCACACCTTTGAAGTAAATCGACTTTTTTATCGATTTTTAATAATTATTAATTTTGGAACCTCATGGCAAGAAGACATAACATTTAACTTTATGCTGTAAGCTGACGCAAAATTTCTTGTTATAGATTTTTTTATTATTGGGATTTTAATATTAAAATCTTTCAGAAAACCATGTATGGAGCCAACGTCATAATCTTCGAAGGCATCCTTACGTTCCATAACCAAAAAGTAAACGATATGCTGGATATGAAGATTTTCGTAGACGCAGATCCAGACGTTCGGTTAGCTCGTAGGTTGAGAAGAGACATTAGTCAAAGAGGCAGAGATTTAGAAGGAGTACTTAAACAGTATACCTCGATGGTCCAACCGTCGTTCAACCATTATATCGCCCCACTCATGAGTCACGCCGACATCATAGTTCCTAGAGGCGGGGAGAACGAAGTGGCTATACAGTTGATTGTGCAGCACGTACAGACTCAATTGCAATTGGTAAGTTATTTTTGATAAGAATATCACGTAATTGTTAAAAAAAAAGAAAACTATTTGAAATTTTTCGGCTTTTAGATTGAAAGGAAATATTAGAATATGGTTGATAAGCGGAAACTTGGGTTAGGAAACCACTAATTTAATTAAGACATGATTTTATTTCATACGTTGAGTGAAGTAGAGATTGGCTGGTCGGTTCTGACCCGGATCAATGATTCAATTATTGCAAAATTGAAGATTAAACGTGAAAGGGTTCTAAAAACTTTTCAAGATAGTTAAAAACCTATCAGCTTAAGCATTTATAAGTAAAATCTTTCTGTAGATAATACAGGGTTCAAAATTACCGACGACGTTGTCCTGTGTCTAACTTTTACTAGTTTCTATTGATCCATATGGCCTTTTCTCACATCTCTAGCAGTCATTGTTTTAATTATTCCCTCTTTCCATATTTTCTTAAGGGGGATAGGGTTTAGTTTCAATATTTTAAAGTTATTTTTAATTTTTTTTTGTAATTGTGTAATATAAATTTATTTATAAAATTAGTAAATTATAATACCACATTTCAAGGGTATTATCTGACATTTTGGTACAAAAATATTAAAAATTAAAAAAATTAAGGCTAATTTTCCAAGATAAAAAAAAGTTACTTTGTGATATTCATCGTAACTTATAACTGGATCATCTGTTGACAAAAAACCAAAAAAAAATTCGTTAGTTTATGAATTTCCGTAGTCTAAATGTCGAGGTATTGTGCATTTTATCGTTTTTTCAGATTTTAGAAGTAAAAAATGACGAATTTTTTTAATTTTCGAAATTTTTTTGTTCAAATTTGACTAATTTTATGCTGTAAAATTAATTATAACAATAAAATGGATAATATAAACGTTTTGACCTAGTAATTTATCTATAAAAGAAGTGTGCAAAACTTGAGAAGAATCCATCAAGTAGTTTTTGAGATACAGTGAACAGAGTGAATAATTATGAAAACTTGACAGTCTACTTATTCCAATTTCTATGACAAGTCACTCGCCCCACTCAAACAACTCACTCACTCACATCACTCACTCAATTACTCATCTCACTCACTCACATCACTCACTCAATTACTCAGCTCACTCACTACCTCACTCACTCACCTGAATCACTGACCTCATTCTTTCACCTCCTTCACTTAACTGAATCACTGACCTCATCCTTTCACCTCATTCACTCACTCTGCTCACCTGACTCACTCACTTCTAAATGTTTGTAACTCCATCAATTTTGCTTCGATCACGCTGACATTTTAACTGCATACTCTTGAAGAGTTATACTATAAAATAAAAAAAAAACGCAAAAACTACCCTAACCCCTCCCCTCACTTAAGTCTCTTCGCTTCCTAAGGTTTTGTGGTATCCACGGCACGGGCAATCTGTTTTTCTCCATTCTAATATCTGTTGTTTATGTGCCGCCCGTTCTAATACGCTGTGCAATGTCATTTTTAATTTTATCTGTTTTGAATATTCTTAAGGATCGTCTAAAGATATCCAACTCTGGTACCTCGACCTTCCTTTTTTTCTTCTTTAAAATTATGCAACTGAACTCTTGTGTTAATGCAACTTGCTCTTTGCTTTCTTCTCTCCGCTTGTTCTAAAGTGCCGTCTCCCTACGGAGGTGACAATCATGATAGCTATTTTTATTTTTGAACTTGCTGCTCTAAACAAATCAATCAATCTGCATTGATACCAATCACCTAGATTCTTTAACATTTATTACCAACTTCTCTTAACATCTTCTAACTGAATACAGGACATATAAAATTAGCATTGTGCTTTAAAATCCAAAAAGTAGAAATAATCAAATATATTTTTTTTTTGCTTTTAATATTTTTGTAATGTTAAGACATTTAAGTTGTTGGATGACGAAAAATGTTGGCCCTAATCTTGAAGTTTAAATGCGAATTGAACAATAAAAACGATATTAAAAAGAGTTCAAAATATAAGGTGTAATTCAACTTTGATTTTTAATACAAGATACTGATTCATTAAAACGTATGTGAATTCAGTTCAACAATATGGCGTAGAAACGTGGATTCTGAACTAGTTTACTATGAACAGATTTGAAATGTTTGAAAGGTATATGTGTAAAAGAATGCTAAAAATTCCAAGGATATAAACTCAACAAGAGCCAAAGAAAATATATAAAGATGCACATAGGTCGAAGAGAAAAATCTGAGAAAATAATATGAAAAAAATCCAATCGAAGTTGAACACCTGAATTACCAGTATTACCATTAATAATACGCAATCTAGAGTAAGGTGATTCAAGTTGACCTTTACCACTACTTCTTTTTATATGATTCATATAAATATATTCAGTCGCTTTGGAGTATCCGGATTTGAGTATGCTCACTGAATCAGTTGGAGCAAATCACCGAAATGACTCGAATTTGCCACCACTAGCTGAAAGATATTTCACGTAAGACACGTAACTTATCAGAAATTTATCAGTCAAGTTATGTAAACAGAGCCAACTAAAATGTTTTATTGCAAAATAATTGCATTGAAAAGTTGAAATGATACACTTGGGTAGACTCACAAAATTAAGATAATTATTAACTACTGGAACGTAGGAAATATTGCAAAGTTTCGGAGCTTTCAGTTCAGATTGCAGGTCCCTATTTCGGATGATTGAGCGGTATTTGGGACAGAGACAGTGTGCGTCACTGAGTTTGCCTCACTGCACGTTCACTTTATATTTGAATTTAGTCACTTATTTCTGAGTTATATCTTCATTTGTATCCATTTAATCCCACGAGTTTGGACGAAATGCTGTCTGGCACGGTAGTGTGTTCATACCGAGCCAAGAAAATAATCATGCATACCCTGACAACGATTGTTCAATACACAACCAAGGATGAACTTCTGCTTTGCAGATAATTTGAGTGCTCGTTGATCAGGACCACAATAATAGCGAACTATTCAGATGTAAATTTTTCCATTATATGATTACAAAAAGTTGCCTTCAATTCTTCAATATTAATGGATAACTGTCAAATGTAACAGTGTTAACATACATTTAAGGTTAGGTTAGACTTTTATCGTTTGGGGGTAGCTTCCAAACATTTTCACATTGAAATCATGAAGGTGTTGCTTGTGTGAGTCCATTTCAAATAGGTAAAAAGAAATAAATAAGACTTACTCACAATTAGTTTAATTTAACTATCTAGACGACCGTTTTCGCTTTCTACAATTTGCAAAGCATCTTCAGGTCTGTCGATACAAAGTTAATTAAATGATGCCGGTACACGGTAAATCGTGTACCTATTTCTATTTTTTACCTATTTTATAGAGATAACAAGAGTTTTGCAATGTCTACTTCGTAAACCATTAATATTTGTTATGGTATTCCTACACATATACCCATATTTGGTGTACCATGGTTCTATAGAGAAAGTATACTGCGATCTACAATAGTTTGAATATTTATTTTTTATTTGGGAATGCCATTCAGTGTAAAATTGTGTTAGAATCTCTTTTTTGTAATTCAAAATATATTTGAACTGATACTTTTAATATTTTCAACGATGGCGATACATCTTGGGACTGAGGAACGCAGTAATCTCAGCACAAGTCTAACCGTATGATAAACCTATTGTAGTGCTGCTATCTAGCGATTTATCGATTGAGCATGCATCATACTTAGATACTGATAAATGATGATACATATATTTAGAAACGTAGTACTATATTAGAATATATAATTTATGACGTACATATTTCAGCGTGGTTTAAAACTCAGGGAGGAACTTGCTCAGGCTTACACAGTAAACAAACATTACAAAATGCCCAGACCAGACACAGTTCGACTACTACCAACTACTCCACAGATCAGAGGTTTGCATACATTTATCAGAAACAAAGATACGCCCAGAGATGAGTTTATATTTTACAGTAAAAGATTAATAAGACTAGTCATAGAATATACTTTATCGTTGATGACGTTCGTAGATAAAACAGTAGAAACGCCACAAGGAGTAGTTTATCACGGTAAGTCAAAATAGCTATTTTGTTGTACTGTTCTTTCAATTTATTTAACAAGATAACACGTGAACCTTTTTGCAGGTTAGAGTAACCAAAATTGTGTCATTGTTTGTTGGTGTTTATACACAATTGCAATAAAATAGAAATTTAATTCAATAACATTTTTACATTTGGCGAATTGAAATATGTCAAATGCCACATTGGTCTCAAATTGCATGCAATAACTCTGGAAATGATCAAAACACAACTAAAAAAGGCTTTGTAAAGAAGTATTTATAAAAACACAAACAAAAATTAAAAATAGAACTATAATAAAATAATAATCTTTGAAACGTGCAAATCAAAAATATTTGTTTTTCTTCCAGGTAAAAAGATGGCCACTAGTAATATTTGCGGCGTTTCAATTTTGAGAGCAGGTGAAACTATGGAACAAGCAGTATGTGATGTATGCAAAGATATCAGAATAGGAAAAATATTAATACAGACGAATCTACAAACTGGTGAACCTGAAGTAAGTTAATAGTTACACTATTCCTAACATAGTTTAGCTCCAATATTTCATTATTTAAATGATCGACAAGCTCGTCACGTTTTATCATTGTAATTTTGTGAATCACACTATTAAAGGTCTAGCTAAGTAATTGGTAATTATTTATTAAGGACGTACGCCCCAAAATTACCCAATTTTTTGTGGAAATACACATGATAATTTAATAATTATATCGGTCTTAGATTTAATTTTACCTAATTACTTATGTTTAAATAAATAATTAAAATACTATTTTGGTACGCCTCTGCAAAGTTGTTTGATTTCGTCGCTTTAAGTGCTAAGTTGCCAATTAATCACCTTAAATTAAAAATTGTTTTAGTATAATCTAAAATCAGTCTGGAAAGCCTACAATATTTATTATTTGACAAATTTATATATATAATATATATATATATATATATTTATATATATATATATATATATATATATATATATATATATATATTTATATATATATATATATATATATATATATATAATATATAATATATATAAAATAAATGTATATTATCAGAAAATAAAACGATTTTTTTCTCGTAAACTCAATATTTCGCCATTTGGTTTATGGCTTAGTTCCATTTATTGTAACATCTTAAAATCTTTTTAATTTATAAAATATATTAGTTTCTGCACGTCACTGATTAAATTGTAGGACAATTAAACAAAATCAGTTATTACAATATTTTAGTTGAATTTTAGTCACTCATAAAAATGTAATTGTGTTTTATTATTTTTTAATCTGTCACTCAAGATGTTGTGTTTGTGCTACGCTGTTTGAACGATTACATCTGTAAGTTCTTTTATGTGATGTTATTTTTTTATTCTATCAATAAATAATTTTTTAGTGCGCTCTTGAAAAAGCCATAAACCAAATGGCGAAATATTGAGTTTACGAGAAAAAAAATCGTTTTATTTTCTGACCAAAAAGCCTGATAATATACATTTATTTTAATTATTTCATGGTCGATAACGAAAAACTAACTAATATATATATATATATATATATATATATATATATATATATAATATATATATATATATATATATATATATATATATATATAATATATATATATATATATATATTATATATATATAATATATATATATATATATATATATATATATATATATATAAAAAGCAATTCTAGCTTACTAACAAGATCAGGAATTGTTTTTTGATCGAAAAACCTTACAATTTTTTGAGTTTTTTCTTCCGGTGATTGACTTTTAATTAATTTTATTTATAGTTTATAAGAAGTTTTAATTATATTGGTATCGAATTAAAAATTGTTCATTTTTTTCCACAAAAAAAATTATTTTGTATAATTATGGCAACACTGACTAAAATTATTATCGAGCATGTGAAAAGGTTATGTCATTTCTTGTCGTTTCATAGCGGCTAAATAAGACTTTTTTAAAGAAAATACATAAAAATGAACGTTGAGCAGCCAATAAAAAGTATTGTACATGAATCTCATGTACATGAAACTCATTGATATAACTTTCAGTTTCATTGATGTGGACAAAGTGCTATTCGTTAAGATTTTAAATAATGAGTTCAACGTTATTTAATATTAATATTCGTTATTTTTTCAGTTGTATTATTTGAGATTACCCAAAGACATCAAGGACTACAAAGTAATATTAATGGACGCCACTGTGGCCACTGGTGCTGCCGCTATGATGGCTATCCGAGTTTTATTAGACCACGACGTTCTGGAAAGTAATATATTAATAGTATCTTTACTAATGGCCGAATCAGGAGTGCAATCGATAGCTTATGCCTTCCCGGAGGTCCAAATTGTCACTACAGCCATCGATCCCGAAATTAATGATAAATTTTACGTACTACCCGGCATCGGTAACTTCGGCGATCGATATTTTGGAACGGAACCGTCAGAAAACGAAATATAAGACTGGATATCATCAGGACATTTTCAAATTAAGAATAAAGGTTTTTTATGTAATTGATTTTGTGTATATATGTTTTAAAATAAAAGGTATAACTTATTGTTATCTGCATATACTTTGTTTTTTATGAATACCTGTCTTAACCTGGTAGGATCCACAAACAGTGTAATTTAAGAAGTCAAGCTCTACTGGTCAGGTATATTATTGCACTGTTGTGGTTTTATAAAAAATATCTACAGAGTGCATTGCAAATGTTTATATCTTATAGATAGTTGAAAATAATAATCAATAATAGTTTTGTCAATATTTTTATTTTATTAACTTAAAAATTGCTATAGCTCCATAATATCCTCAAAATAATTGATACAGCCAAAATAACCAGACCATATAGCCATTTGGTATCGTCAGCATTCTCCAACTCAACGCCAGACACTTTTCCTTTCAAAAGAGGTTCTCTCAACCCAGGCATAACAATGTCATCAAGCGGTTCACCGGTCATTGAAAACTTGGTCGCTTGAATGATTTTAACTTTAACCACTTTTCCCATATACTCTTCTTTCATCGGTATCAGAACTTGTTCGTAGTATTTATTATGAGCAACATAATGTTTCTTATCATGGGATACTTCAGTTGCTAGAACTTCTTGGATTTCTCCAAGCTTATGGCCATAGGGCTGGTAAGAGTGAAATAGTTCTGTTAACCTGAAATTAAATAAGTTTTTATTTAAAATGTACTACAATTTAGTAACTGTTTCATCAATATTAAAAGGACAAGTTCATTTTTAAAAAAGTGAAAAAGTTTTAGTAAAAATTAACTACTTCAGTAGTTTTATTTTATCCTCGAATGAATTTATGGCAGAAAAGAAATTCATCATGATGACGTCTTTCTGTAACTAGTAAAATAAAAATGTCCTCAAAAATAATTAAACTAAAACTAAACACAGGTTTTATATCTACAGCAAATAATGTTCTTACCTTTTAGTTCTTTGTTTAACTTCTTGAGTTGGTATCCTTGGCAGCAGTGCTGCAGGTGTTCCAGGTCGGGGAAAGAATTGATTGATGAAAAGGCTGGGGAATTTATATTTTTGGCATAAGTCTAATGTTTCTTCGAAGTCCTTTTCAGTTTCTGTAGGAAATCCACAAATTATATCCGTCGCTATAGTCATACCAGGCACTCTAAAATATATACCAAGTAAATATATTTATTTTGTAAAATGTTCTTTACTTTTTTATGTTTTTATTGTTTTATGGACAAATATTCCATCATATACCATATTCCACAAAAAATGTTCATGCGTTTTCCGCTATAAGCTCATCTATTCATCTATCAATTGCATAACATAAACACTATTTTTTCCTAATTCTTAAATGATTATTACCTCTCTCTTAAAAAATCTACTACATGTTCAAAATCCTTTCGACAGTATTCTCTCTTCATATCACCTAAAACAGCATCACTAGCAGATTGTACTGGTACATGAAGAAAAGCATATACTCTAGAATCCGCCATTATTTTTGCTATTTCTTCTAAATGTTCGAGAATATAAGGAGGATTGGTCATACCCAACCGAAGACGACATCCTTCTGGTATTACTTCTACCAATTTCCATAGGAGTTCCGGTAGTGATGTACCTATATCTCTTCCATAGGTACCTAAAATTAGATAAACAAAAGCGAAGTGATTTGAATGTAAAATGTTTATGAAAAATATTACCTGTGTCTTCTGAGGTCAACCAAATCTCAACAACTCCTTCTTCAAAAGCTTGTTTTGCTCTAGCAACAATTTCTTCGGGTGGATAACTGCCTAAATCTCCTCTGGCATGTTTAGTTTTGCAATATGTACATTGATTGAGACATCCAGTGTTTATCGCTATAATTTCTATTAGTGGATTCCTTCTAACTTTTGGTAAAAGTAAAGAGGCTCCTCCCATCTTCTTGCCATTTTCTTTTTTGGTACCAAGCAATTTTACTGTGTTGCCCTTAAAAAATAATCATTTCAAAGCAGCTTTAATAATGTTAACTAAATTTATGTTGCATAATATTAGTATTTTTAAAGTAAAAATAAATCAATTTTATATGAGGAACTCTAATATTTACAAGAATATCTCCTGGCAGAACAACAAAATTAATAATGCCACGAAACAATTGAAAGAAAATAATGTAATAGTAGATACTGGAATAAAAGGATTTGTGGTAGGGGTAAAGTTAATTTTAGCTTATCAAGGATAATGCTTTATATTATGTAGAAGAAAACAATCTTCCAACACATGATTGTAGTTAAATAGAATTGTGTAGCTAAGACAAAATAATATCAACAATAAGTTTAGATACTTAAAAACAAAACTGATTTAGAAAAATATATCAGAGAGTCTACAAAGAATGAATTATTCCGTTTGTGAATATTTATTACATAATTTAAGCAATTTTTAGTTGTTATCAACATTATTAACTCAACTACACCTACCTTCAGAGTTTCTTCAACTACTTCAACAACCCTATCAATTTGTTGTACACCTATTATGCTTAGACCTTGAATAAAGGACGATTTTGGAGCTCCTTGGGGAACACACCCAGCAAGTACCAAGTGTTTCCCTTGTTTTTTAGCAGATTCTATTTCATTTCTGAAAGAAAATGAAGGTTTTATCTTTCACTAGTGATAAATGATATAGTGTTGAAAATTATGATGTGATAATATATATCAAATTGAGATACCAAAATGAATAAAAAAAAATATATAGTGAGTGAACCAAGTTTATATATAACATAGATTTTAAACATAGATTATAGAAACAATTTTGTTTTTCCTCATGGATAACTCATGATGGATAGATAACACAAACTATCAGCTCTAATAGATTTTTCAGTTTGTCCAGTTTAATTGCAGGTTTCAAATTTGCTGATTGTAGGGTCGGGAGTTAGCAGACAATTTTCTGGTATTTTTGATTGCATAAAGGTTTGGCTATATTATCCATATCTTATGGAATAGCTAGCAGCGTTCTTGTATAATAGTAGGTAGGCACATATTACTAATTTAAGAATTTTTGTTGATCTAATGTCTTTCATGTTTTTACATTATTACATTGAATCTACATATACTTCATCTAATTAAGATAACGACTTACGTCATTATCTACGTCAAAGATCGAAGTTGACATAATTGCCAAAGTATAAAAAAATCCTGACTCCATTTTAAATCAAATAGATCACATAATTATTGCAAAAGTATTACCATCTCTTTACAACGACTATTTAAATTCTTACGTGACATTTTTGAAATAAAACACACTAATTTTGTTCTAAAAAGAACAGATTTCATTAAATAGTTAAAAATATAAAAAAGAGATATTCACTTTAAAATTCAAAATAATAATGTGCAAAAAGTGTCAACACCGCAACTGTCAAATAAGTGTTACCAATTTATGCCAAAGTTTCACCTTCGTTCGATTACAGTTACAGTGCGTTCCGAACAAATGTTCTTAATAAAAACGCTTTATAATGCATTTATACAAATTAAATGAAACATATTATTATGTATTTCTTTAAGTTAATATTAATAGAAATTTATAAATATTATTTCTACGCGTATATAACAAAATATGTCTAGTGGCTGTATTGCCAGTGTACTCGTAAAGCGATTCTAAAAAAGAACACACCTATACCCTAAATATTTCGTGTTGGTATCATGTGACGTCACAGGCTATGACGCCGATGACGTGCATCGTTATATAAATTAGATGAAGTGTACCTAATTTTAATTACATTGAATATTCAATTCAATCAGATTACAAAATATACCCAGTCATCTCTGGAAAATGCATTTTTTGGTTATTATTTCACAGAAATCTGTTTGATTTCTGTGAGTCCAAATCTTGGCCAAATTTATTATATGTATGGCCAGGAACAAAAAAATGTGAGACTGACTCAATAACATTGTTTTTGTTTATACATCACTTTCCTGTTCCAAGATTCTCTACCATACGTCTTCATCATCATCTTTGGCTCAACAATCCTCTGTGGATCTTGGCCTGCTCTAAGATTCGTTGCCATTCTGTTCGGTTTTTGGCAACATGTTGCCATCTTCTGATTTTTAATATTCGTAAGTCGGTTTCCACTCCATCTAACCACCTAATTCGCGGTCAGCCTTTGCTTGTTTTTCCTATCCTGTGTTTAGCTTTTTAGCAATCGTATTTTCTGGCATTCGCATTATGTGTCCAGCACATCTAAGTCGCTGTGTTTTAATGAACGTTATGATATCTGGCTCATCATAGAGCTGATACAATTCAAAATTATATCTTCTGTACCACTGCCCTTGGTCGTTTACAGCTCCAAATATTTTGCAGAGTATTTTACGCTCAAATATTCCCAAAAGTCTTTCATCTTTCACCATATGTCTTCATCTATGTTATTAAGGAACCTTGTTCTGTGTCTTCCTCTACTTCTCTGACCCAGTGATGCCAGAGCTACTGATTTATCTGTAGATCTACCGATTTTAATATCAATCTACTGATACACTGTTTTTCTTACAACCTACCGATTTTTCAAACAATTTTTATATTATACAAATATTGCTTCATCCTAAGCACTTAATTTTGTATCAAAGCTATCTATTACTATTTTTCTATTACCAATAAGTTAATTCCTTTGGTTAACTTACTTTACTCTGAGAAGTTCTTTTTTATGCAACACATTATACATTTACACACTTTTTGTGGTTAAATGTTTCAAATAATCAGGGGAAGTGTTTACGAAAATGTAGTATTATTTGGTTTTTGTGCATTGTTTATTGCAGTTAACAATAACAATTTCTTTCATAAAATTAAAACTGTGTTAAAAAATGTCCAGTTCTAGTAGTGATAGGGAACAAATAAACATTAAAAAGTCCAAATACTCTTTTTTATTGTATGTATTCAATGTCAAAATTTAATTTTTACATCTCCTTTTTGTGATATTTTAATTTGTTTCAATTATATATTAAGTTTTTTCCAATTTTACCATTAATAAAATTGTTTTCTAGAAATTTTTGAAATCTACTGATTTTTGTTGAGATCTACCAATTTTTCTCGATAATTCTGATTCTCCTGCAACTAAGCCTGCAAAAATGCTCTGACCAATGGGTCTATAAAGGAGCGTTTTTCAAGTTGGGTCATTTTGTTCCATCTGCATTACATGCCCTACGCACCTCAGATATCCTATCTGATTACTCCCTGCTAATATTAAAACTGTCTTATTATCTTATGTCATTAAAAACTCTCCTTGTTCATAATAAACTACTACTGACAAATTAATATATTAAATCTAAACAATAAAAACATACACCAAAATTTAGTTCAATAACAACTGTTCACCACACCATTAGCATTGCACAATTTTAAAAATGTTAACATAAATATTTCTACTTAAGTAAAAACAAATATTAAACACATTACTGTCTAGATATAAAAGCCATATTTTTATAGTAAAAAAAAGAAAATATAACAGAAACTTAACATATAATCTATGTTGTTCTATTTTGGGAAAAAATACCTTATTTAGCTATTTTTTTAGTTTGAATACCTGAAATGATCTTCAGCTGGACTCTTAACAGTACAACTATTCAATAAAATTAGATCGGCTTCACTCTTATTATCTGTCAACTTATAACCGTAAGCTGCTAACTGTCCGGCCATATATTCTGAATCTGAGCTATTATGTGCACATCCCCAAGTACCTATATAAATATTTTGAGTCCCTGGTATGTTTTCGCCAACAGGTGTAGGAGGGACAACTTCATTTTTATTCTGTAAGAAATTCTGTAATGTACTAGCAAGTATTAATCATCTAACATGTCTTACCTTTCTTTTGGCTTGAACTTTTACATTTTTACGGTTACTGTATCTTTCTTTTGGTGTAATATCCTGTGCAGAAATTAAGTCTTCAATATCATTAATAATTTCATTGCAGACTTGCGAGTTGGCATAACTGAAAAATAATAAAATTAATCAAATATACATATGTTTTGTATTATTTTTACCTGTCAGTTGGAAGTTCTATGTCCATTTTTATTTTAGTCGGTAAGATATTGTTTTTTTGTAATATAATTTAAAATGCCTACTTGTATATATCACTTTATTCCATATTTTTTGCAAAATTCTATTTGATTTTGCAATGCCCTATGAGATGAGACAGTTTAAAAGAAGGTTAGTTTCACAGTAAATAGCCCGTTAGTAAGGTAAGTCCAATAGAAAGATTTGGGAGAGAGTTTTTAGCGCTAAATGCGGACGGGCCGAAACTAATTTCATTTGGTAGTAAATTTAAAACGTAGGTTTTTAATTTTAGTTGGCAAATTCAAAAAATATGCTCTGAATTTTACTCGACAAAATTCAAAAAGTATGCTTTTAATGAAAAAATAAATATAGTCATAAAATAAGAAATAAAAACTTATTCTATGCCAAAAAATATATTCTCTCTGTCCAAACGTCCCTAGATGGACAACTCCATGTAGGGATTTTTCCACCAAACTTCATTTTAATCTTCCCATCGTGTTGGAGATCTTCCTATTGATAAACAAATATATATGCCTCTATATTCATTAGTATTGGTTTGTTATAAGTTCCATACCGTCTAAAATACTCTTCCTTAAAGGACCATCTGGAGATAATAAAGTGTAAACTCTACCATTTCTGCGATCTTGCTCTTCAGGATCATTACAAATTAGTATGTAAATATAGCTCAGAAGCTATGAAAATCTATAATAATGAAATATTATTAAAATTAAGAATGTATGACTTTTTTTTATAAAATAAGGCAACTTTTAGGAATGCAATTATAAGAGTTAGGAGTTTTAAAATATATATATAGTATATAGATAAAACATTCATGTTGGTTAAGATTTAAAGGTAATTTAACCCGAACAACTTAGAATGTTTAGTAGCCCTTCGTCCAACTTTAACTTTTACCCATCCACAAAAAGTATTCTTTTAGTTATTTCGATTTGGAAAACTATACCATTTTGGTATTGTACCTTCTTCTTTTTTAGCAATGTTTATTAGATATAAATATAAAAATTGATGTATACTGTTTTTATGTCCCATTTCTAAAATTTGGCATAGATATGTTTTTGTTTTTTAACGCCTTGCAAATGCATGGATTACAATGTTGCCACTAACACAGTTTTTTTCGGTGGATATTCAAAATTCTTAGAATAAATTATAATATAATGTAAATTTAAGTTGTGATTTTAGTAGAGTTTGCTACAGTCTTTGTTTTTTTTGGAAAAAATTGTATAGTATAATCATTATTTGGATAATTATTATATGCAAAACTAATGAAATCATGACAACAGCACTTACATCAACGTCATACGCCTGTCATACCTTCTCTACCTAACTAACGCTTAGAACATAAAATATCAGTATATTTTATGTTCTAAGAACTAACGTGACTAGTAGCGCCGTCGCCATTATGAACGGCTGGGCCGTGTACAACTCACTCGTTTCACATATCCTATCACATTTACACTACTATTTGTAATATATACTGTGGTTAGTTTCTTCTATGCAAACATTTCAAATCGCCAAATAATAATTTTTATTCAGCCAGGCGTATTTGAAACTCGCAACTTTTCAACGCCAAAAAATGCCATAAACATGATAAATGTGTTAAAGGTCAGTTGAGTATTTCCTACATTATGTATGGAAAAAAGTAAGGTTGGAATGTTTAATGATGCATGTGTTTTCATTACTTTTATAATGTTTTTAAAAATTTGTTAATTATTTGTGAATATTAACTAATTAAAATGGCTGACATCGAAAAGGCGTTGTACGACTTTCTTTTAGTTACTAGACAAAAACCAAAAGCAGATGAAGAAAAACTACAAAATGGAACTGACTTAGAAGACTTGAATATCTATTTAGTTTCAGACGATAATTGGAAGATATTTTTTGATCGGTCGTTCGATGTAGAACAACTAAAAACTCACTTCAGTACTTTACAAGAGAATGATAGAATCAACTGTCTTAAATTTGGAATATCTTGTATTCTCAATTTTGTTCAGTGTAACTTCACTGGGCCTGACTTATCCAAAGAAATAAAGGATTATTTAAGTAAAGATACCTATGATACACTTAACTTTGCAAAACTGCTGTCTGTTAATAATGAGGATATTAATATCAATACCAGATATCCAGCTTTGTTAGTGACTGCTAAGATCATTTTTGAACATTGTGCTGTTGACAATATGATTAATAATTGGTGGTATTGGCGATCTATTTTAGTTCATCAAGAAATTTTAGAGGAACTAAGTCCTTCTTTGCTCTCTGATGCTGATAGATTGTATAAACATTTCCAGATCAATCCTGATTTAAGTAGTAAGTATTACACTGTTTTAGTAGTACATAGTAAGAAGCATAATGAGAATTAAGTATAGAGATAATTCATTCTAATTACTGAACAACAACATAAGCACAACTTTTAATAACAGATTAGTACAACACTAATAAACTATAATTATTTAAGAGTTAGGTATCATTGCATCATTCAGTAGAGAGGTAGAGTTATAGCAACAACTCAACACTCAGCTCTAGAATTAAAAATTAGTTGAAATTTACATTTTCAGTGAGTCATCCAGTAATATCCTTTTATTGAAACCATAATTTGTTTTGTATATCTCAGGGTATCAGTTAATTTCTATATAATGAATATGAAAATTCCAAATTGCACCCCTGAATGTTAATTAGTAAATTGTAACTAGAAGAGGCTATAAAATGACTTAAAAATACAATTATCAAGTTTCTGTGAATGGTATGACATTTATAATTGGACAATATCAATGTAAAGTTTGGTTTAAATTTAAATATCTATAGGAACGTTTGCTTTGGTTAAGCTACAAGGGATGATGATTTATGGTCCTCCAAATATATTTGCATATTATTCAAATATGGTAACAAAGATGAAAATTGAATATCAACATGTAATATGCTTCCATTATTCCTTTATTATGTACTCAAGCCTTGAGAAAAAACTAAAAAATTGAGAGGTAAAATGACATATTAATTTCTCAGAAAAGACTCTAACCGAAAATATCTTGATGGCATAATGGTAACAGAATTAAATTACTGAGCTTATAAACTCATAATATGAATCCTGAGGGAATCATCTTAGTATGTTTACCAATAAATACAGTATGATTATTTGTTTATTATTTTATACAAGAAGAAAATTAAAGATTATGCAGCCACAAAAAAGTATTTTTTTAATATAAAAATATGATAATAAAATAAAGTATGAATTTTGTGTTAAAAATATGAACTTATGTAATTATAAGAGCAGTTGACTCATCCAATAATAAATGTATTATCATCTTTTACAATATTGTTAACAAAAAAAATAAATATGTTAACTTCATTATTGCAGCAACTAACAATTATTTATATACCTATAAATGACAGATATTTCTGCTACAAATTTTGTTTTTTTTTTTTTTGTTGTTTCCCTGCAGAGGGAAGTGTTTTGCTTAAGTGATGCCATAGGCAGCTGGAGAATTCTTGGTGATTATATCCTTGGTACAGTAAGAGCATACTTCTGTGTCTGGCAGAATATTTGTTCCAACTCACTGTTTGAGAACTGAAAAATGATAGTCTCTGCCCTAAATATATCTCATTGAGTTGAATATGAGTCCTACAGGCAAATTTTTAGCACAGTAAGTCAGATTATGCACTATGAGAAGGTTCGATATTGCCTTCATATCAGAACCCTGGGCACACAGAGTCAAATAAAAGGGCTATAGGGTGTTCGCAGAGGACTTATATACAGTAGGTCTGCTGAACTTCCAATGACTTATTGAATGAATTATATAATAGTTAATGGGTATTGTACACTAAGCCAATTAGCTACAAAATGACTGATGTAGAACAATCAACTTCTAGAGAAGAAGAGTTATAATCTAAAGCTTTTTTCATAGATACAAATCAAATAGTTAAAAATGTGTACTATACTTTATTATGCAGAGGCTTAATAAAACAAGAAGTTGTGTTATGAAGAAAACTTGTATAGGTACTTACAAAATTGCCAATATCGTAAATTAAGAATATTTGAAGTAGAAATCTATTGATGGGATTAAAAAACTGTATTGATTTTCAGTCTCATTATTTGGGCATGTTATAAGAACAATACATTCCCTCTATGAACATATGATTGTTCATATTTATATTCTATAAACTTAAATTGAAGTTAGAAAAAGTTTAAAAAAGTATACATTTTCATCCACCCTCCATGTATTATTTCTAGTATAGATTCGAAATATTATAAGATAGACCAGTGGTTCCCAACGGGGGCGGTACCGCCCACCGGTGGGCGTTGAAGAGAGATAAGTGGGCTTTTTGGGTCCAAGGAAAATTTGGGGGGCGTTGAGGAACAGCTGCCGCCCCCTAAAGTAACTCATTGCTTCTTTGCTTCTAACAACTTCTAACAATCCGAAAATATAAACGAAATGCACAAAATGCATTTTGGTTATGCACCGTGCAATTTTTTATTTATCACTCAGTCCAACACTGCAACAATTTCGACGTTGCAGTCGAACGTAGAACGTTTCAGTTTGGTTAGTATAATTTCCACTTCCAGTAGAATCTTTCTGCTTTAAGTGAATTTTGGCACCTCCTTCGCGCAGCGGCATGGTCAGGCATAACTTAATCATTCGAGATTGTTTCGCTAAAGCAGGGTGGTGAATTTTCTGTGTGTTATTTGTAGAAAGTTGCAGTGCATTTATTAGAAATATATTTTATTGTAATACATATTTGTCACAAAGGTAAGTATCTACGTGGTATTTATATCACTTACTATAATTCTTTATTATTTTTCCCTATCGTAATTTACGAGGTATTTGTAAAAATGTAATAAACCTAAATTTGTTTCCTTATACGTATAGTTATTGTAAAATATTCAAAAAGTACCAACTTGCACAAACTGGATCAAAGTAAAAAGTTAATTAGGACCTACCTACACTGAGAGAAGAATTGGGGAAAAAGTACAAAAAATCTTAATAAAATTTACTATACTGAATAGTAATCTGATCATAGACTGCCAAAAATAAACCATTTACTGAATATAAAGTTATTTTTATAATATGTGTACAGTATGGTAATTTTTAATAAGTTGTTTTGTAATTTTTCCTCAAATTCTTCTCTCAGTGTATATTTATTTACTTGTGGCATGTTT